TTTAATTGGTTAGGGGCAGGTATCATTAACTTCATTTTACAGACCTTGAGCCTAAGGCAGAAGAACCAAAGGTCAGCTAACTTGTCTGAGATCAATAGCGAATCTATAGTGTTGTTTGGAATAAAATTCTTTCCTTTTTCTATTATTTCTAACATACCATTTTTTTTCTCATTACACACACACACACACACACACACACCATGCATGCAATCACTCAACATGTTTTACTGTTTACCTTAACTTTGTAATTTTACTTTTAATTTCTTTCTTCATTCTTAGTTTACTTATGTTCTCTGATTTCATTCATTCCTGGTACACCTTATGTTATGGGGCTTTTTGCTTGTATCTTCAAATATTTACCTTAAAGCAAATGTTTTCTGTAACAATGAAGAAAGATAAAAATGAGCATAAATAAATAAAACTCTTTACACAAATCTTTTTCTTTTTAACTGCAATCCTACTTCTATGTCATGTTTTAAAAATTAGTAGTCTGTCCCCACTTTCTCCATTTCCCCATATATATATGTATAAATTGATCTTTTACTTCCTTTGCTCTAATCTCATAGAATTATTCTTCACAATTTAGAGATTTTAAGGTAACAATGACCTTCTAAAGGATGAATCCTATGGGCATATGGTAGTCATAATTCTTCTCCATATCTGTGATGCCTTTGATCATAAAGGATTTTCTTTCTTTCCAAAGATGATCTGCTTCTAATCCTTCCAAGTTTCAAAAGTGATCTGGTTTTCTTATCCACCCTCTTTTTTTTTTTTATCTTTTACTGCTGGCCCCAAATATGGAAACTATAACTGATTCCTCAAAGATATGTTTTCTATCAAAATTCTTTTAGAGGTCTCAACCCACAACTCCCTCCTTTGCAATGCCTACCCTAAATCCTAAGCAGGTTTCATGGCATTTTGTTATATCTGTTTCATTGGAAACCTAATCATATTCTATATCATCTGTTTTTATATACCTATACAATTTTGAATTTCTTAAATTTGTAGAACCATTTTTGGGACATCCTCAAAACCCTGAGACATAGTGAATATAGAACAAATGTAGGTATGGTGAAACAATGTCTAAATTCAAGCAGCCATACATTATAATGGCCTCACTGCCCATTACCATTGTTGTTTTTCCAAAGTTCACTCTTCCTTGGCATAATTCTCTGCCTCCAACCTTTCTTCTTCCTACTCTTTTGCACAAAATTGTCACATCACATCTTCAATCTCATCCATTCAATTATATCATTCATTTGCTTCCCTAAAATCTTTGAGTACCACTCCCTCTTGTGTATAACTGTCACCCATTTTCCACTCACAATCTTTGGAATTCTTTTCTTGAATACCCCTTTCTTGCATTACTTATTTACTTTTTGAACACATCTTCACAATTTCAAAGTGCTAGAAGGCTAGCATTCTTTTCTCATCCTCTTGTGCCTTTTCCTCTTTGAGAAAGACCAGTTTGTTTTTGCACGACAAGAAATCATTTATCACTCTGGACAGAAAAATAGAAAGCTCAGATACCCCAGGTCACTGCAGGTTTTCATGTCCATACTTTTGCATCTCAGGATGGAGTCATGTTTCCAGTTACTCTCCAGGGAAACACAATCCATGAACATTTAAGGGACCACCAGACTTCCTGGGACAGTTTGGTTTTTTTTTTGACTGCTTTCAGTTGTAGGGTTTCTCCTTCCTCTCTCCTCAATGAAGTCCCTCTTCATTACCTGGAGGGACTTTACAAACTATTGATATCCAGTCCCACTTTGAACGCTGATTCATTGGGTTTAAGTTGAAACTGTGTATTGGCTTTGTGTTTTTTCACAAGTTCTCTGGGCCATTCTAAGGCACATCTAGATTTAAGAATACCCGCTTAAACCACTCTCCTTCAGAGTATCAATAATTAACAAAGTGATAGTTAAATATATAATGCAAATCCATTCTCTCTGTCATGTCACACAGTCAACACTGCTTCACATATCTTATTTAGTCAGCATTTCTGGAGTATATGAATAATGTGAATTCTGTATTTTAATTCTCTATCTTCTCAATAGACCCAACCTGATGATGAATGATGGTACATAAATACTTGTCTGTCTGCCCATCAATCTGTCTCTCTATCTCTACTATCTATCATCATCCATCTATCTATCTAGTTTGTATGTCTGATTTTCCACTGGAATCAAAGCTTAACCCTTGCACCAATGGATCTACCTTCAGAATTTAGGATTCTGCACTAATTTGTTCACATTGCCAACTTAAATACTTCGCCAGAAGAATTTTGTTTTTACAAAATTATCAAAATAGAGCTTGAGATAGTAATATAATGCTGATATTGTATTGTTGAATTCTAATGGAATATTTTTAAATGTGGTTAAAAAAGATGAGGTTTTTTCATGATCCATTGTGTGATGGTCTTTATTTTGGATTTTTATTGTGAATTATTTTTGTTTCATCCATTAGGTTATTTTTTTTAAAAGCTTTTTATACAAAATGAAGCATTCATGAATCTAAATATATGTTATATAAATAGATCTTAGTATTTTAAATTTGTAATACCTTTTCTTTCATCATTAAATTTAATATGTAACCTAAAATAATTCACGGAAATTAAAATACAATAAATATAGGGTAAGAAATGAAGAAAATGCACAGAATCATAGAAGTTGTAATACAGTACATGATAGAAAGATCATTATTTTATTTTTGACATTTTTCATTGCAAACATAGCCTCTCACCTTTGTGCTGTCCTATTTCTACTTTTGGTGGAACCAGCGTTTAATTACAGATTCAGAATTTCCTACCTTCAGCTAAACATCACCGTCTTTTCTACTTTTATATCAAAATGAAACATTTCTCATAATTTCTTATATGCTTTCCTTTGTCAATTTATTAGTACAAATTATGTATTTCTGTATTCGTTTTGATCATTCCTCTTGGGTTAATGAAGACTGAGCTAAAAGATTTGAAAATCATTAAAGCAGAATCAAGAACAGCATTTAACCTTCCTTTCTCTCTCTCTTTCTTTACATGTATATATTAACACATTGCTATGTCTTGAAGTGATACGTCTGAATGACCACTGGAATTCTTTCCTAAATTCAGCATTGTTATTTAAAGCTCATTGTTCAGTAGTATTTACTAAGCATTTTCTTTGTGCAGAACAATGTGGTTTTAGGAAACTACCAGCAGCCTTGTTTCTGAGATGAGACTGAAGAGATCCAGATAATTTGCTGGGAGTGATAAATAGAAAAAAAAATTAAAAGAAAATATAGGCACATAAGATAAAACATAGTAAATACAAATTGATTTCTACATTTACTTATATATATGAAACATCATACTATTGTAAAGAAATGTGAGAATTATTACTGAAATAAGAGTAATGTTCCTAGAATTTATCGCCAGTAAATTTGGGGCTGTGATGTGTATACTGTTTGTACTAGAAATATTTCATAATTGTTTTACTACAGTTCCAATTCAGTGAAATATTATAAAGAAGAGAATGTACTTTAAATGTTTTTCCTTTACAATAAGATTCAGCGGTTTTAAAAGTTGATTTTGAAGTAGAATGAATAATAGAATTTTATAAAGTTTGTACAATCCAAATAAGTACATGGAAGGTAAGGTACTGAGTTAAAAATGCCAATAATGGACAATATTCCTGGCCAGTCTTCTGAGACAAGATAAAGGGAAGATTTGCAGAAGCATGTGTTTGTCTGTAGCAAAACCAATTTATAAATTCGGGGGAAATTCCATAACTGTTTGTAGCTTTTCCTTTAATAACCTACATGTGTAGATTATCCTTAACACTTTAAAAATCATACTGGTGCCAGTTCTGACTAGTAATTTGTACCACTAGTATTCAAGTTATAAAAGGGCAAAAAAGGTTTTTTACCTTTCTCACTATTTTCTGGCAACATTAGTTTTATGCTTTATATTAAAAAGAACCAGTCTGAGTCATATGTTTAAAAAATACATTTATGCCGTTTTCAAATCATGCAAGAGTTTTTGATGGATACAACTATTGCCAAGAATAATCTCAGACAGATATTACAGAACCTTTTTGTATTGTTTTTTTCCAATTATTATGTATGTAGCACTATCAATGCATGAGATTAGTTTTTTTCCTGAATGAGCCTAAAGTTTTTAATTTATTTAGTAGTTACAATAATTTGTAAATTCCATACATAGTAAATCTTCGGTGTAGCCAATTTCAGTATCATAGTAAATTGTGGATAAAAATATGCAACACTTTTAACATATAATTTAAGGACACTACATGATGTAAATTTTTGTTTTTGAACAAACTATAAACAGTCATAGTAAACGCATACTTTTTGGTTTATTTTCTATTCCCTGGTTAAAGAAATGTTTATCTATTATTTTAATACCACCCTTACAATATCAAGGTCAATAGGTAATATTTCTAATATGACTAAAGTAAGAAATACATTTCTATTTCCCAGCACTGCATCTAAATTCTTATTTATCAGTTGTACCTTTAAGTTTAAGTCACCTGCCAGAACACTCATTTTAAAACCATTATATCATAAAGACAAAGGTTTTAAAACTGAAGTTTTTATTAAAAATAAATTCTTACGATGATTACTTCAATATTTATTGCCTTCCAAATCGGTGACACTTGTTTTTATAGAGTCTATTTGTGAAAAGCATACTGGAAGTAAAGACTAAGGAATAGAAAAAGGTTGAATATGTGGTACCAACATAGATTTAAATGTGTGTTTTAGTGAAATTGCTGTTTTCTTATCTCTGTTTCAGAAGGTGAATTTTCCGGGTTTTTTTTTTTTCCATAATAAAATCTAAGTTCTAGGACTTGCCTCAGATAATACCTTTAACCAAATAGCTTTCAACATCTCTAAGCATTTTGTATTGAATTAGTAGTCAGTGCTTGATGTATGTAATGTATGTGTTTTTTAATAAGATCATTTACAATCTTATATTTTAGTGACATTCAGAATCTTTTCTTTTGCAGCCATTTCGTAGAGTGACGTTTTCTGTTGTGAGTCAGCCTCAGGACCCACATCAGGGGTCACTGCAGAGTTGCTATGACAGCGGGCTGGAGGAGTCAGAGACACCAAGCAGTAAGAGTTCATCAGGGCCAAGGCTGGGTGCCCTTCCACTCCCAGAGGACAACTATGAAAGGACCACGCCGGATGGCAGTGTTGGTGAGGCAGAGCATATGGAAAATGGTAGGGGCAAACACAGCATCCACACACATAATCACGCTAGCGAGCCATAATAAGTAGACTCGTGAGGCTCAGTCTAAAACCCAAATAAAATAGCTGACACTAAAACTATTTTACCTAAAAAAAATAAATATTTGCTAAAGGACAGAAATGCCAAATAAAGGAACATAACCTTATAGATAAAATCCACCAAACCTGCACCATCATTTTTAAAACAGCCTGTCAGAAATAAACACATTTCCAAATAAATCGGAGTAGTACCTGCTATGAAAACAAACAAACCTAAATTAATTCATAATACCTAAACAGTAGCAACTGAGAAGGGTCTTGTGTTATTGTTTTCTTCTATTCATTTTTGTCATGCAGCTATTTCTTCTACTGTAATTGTTCAACCTTAGTGAAAGGAAATGACAACAAACACACCTTGCTCTTTCTTTTCCTAGGTATTTATCAAAGCATTTGCGAGCTTCTCCTTTTGAGTGATAGCTGAAATGGAGTCAAACAAGGAGAACAGTGTTATCTTATTCTCCAGAAATGTACTGTAAATACTATTAGAACTCCCCTCTCGTTTAAGTATACGTCGTGGTTCTTTGTTTTTTGTTTTTTTTTTCTCATTTTTGTGCAAGGGAAACGGAAGAAAGCAAATTTTAGGACTCTAGGTTCCTATCCTGTTGTGAAATGATTCTCATGAGGACCACAACAATTGGCCTCCTATACACTTCCTTTTAAGTTATAAAGTTAGATTTCAAATAGTATTTACAAACCTTGTCATATTGGTTTATATTCCCCAAAACAATTAAATGATGTATTTTTTTGGATTTCAGGTTATAAGTAAATGCCTGAGAAGTAGGTTTGTGTGAAATAATGGAATGGTAAAGTTCATACTAAATTTATTATTTTTCAAGTATAAAAAGAGATTTGGTTATATGTAGGGGAACGGAAGGGGAACCGCGCACATTTTATCTGTAGCGAAAACTCGAAATGGATTTGTCTTTCACCATCCCATCCCCCAAGTGAAATAAGACATCCTAACTTTTTGTTATATACCAGTTTCTTTAGTGATGGTATGCAAATAAAGCATATTAATGCAGGAAAATCTGATTTTTTTTCTTGAAGTTTACCTATGAATATTAAAATCCAACCTTAGAGAGTAATAGATATAAATGACCCCAAGTGAAATTATGGCTAAACTAAATCATGTTAAATAATTATTTTTTCACATTGTTATCTGGGTGAGAAGATACGGTATCAGGGTCAGATGATTGATATCCCCTTTTGATTAATAATCCAGAGTTCAAATGGCATTTTGCCTTATGGCTATAAAGGCATGCTTATCTGTGTGTATGGTGGTGTATGCTTATGTGGATGGGAGTTTGATGTGGTTTTTAAGAATTAAGTTCTTTTAGTATCTATTTAAATGACTATAAAAATTTTGGTATGAATTGCATTGCTGATGAATATATTTCTAAGGCAAATATGTATGAAATGCTTTGCACAAAAGTAAAAATTAAAATACTATAATAATATTATACACACACACACACCTAGGAAGGCAGGATTGATCTAATTTAAGGACATTCCTATACCTGTGATTACCTTTTGATAGTATACTTTTATTTGTGTTTTAAAAAGTATCTCACAATAAACAACATAATGTATAATTAAGGCTTGATTTTTGGATGTCAGCTATATTAACAGAAAGGACTTGTATCATTGGCAATATAATCACATTTTAATATTATTTTTCTGTTTTTCAAGTTTAAGGGGATTCAACACCTTTAAAATAAGTAAAAAATGATGAGTAATAAGCATAATTATATATGGCAAACACATATTGGTTACTTTTTAGGAAACACACATGGAAAACTTAACAGGTGAGCTTGTTAAGAAACTAGAAAGAATTTGCTGAGAAACATTTTCCAAGTAAGGCTTTTAGTTATTTTTTATAACCATGTTTTCAGTCTTGTCAACAGCAAAGACTCTCATAATAGAAATGATTTTTCTGATTTTTGTATGTGACTGACACTTAAAATTCAGTTTTATATAATCAGTTGTCATCTGCTGTGATTCATGTTAGCCCTCATCTATAGGTAAGGACAGAAGGAGATGTGATTCACTTTGGGTGATCCAAATGTAGCAGTTGACATTTGAATAAGTTTTGTTGGGTCCAAGTTTTCAGACTACTATCTAGCCATGAAGTACAATTGTATTGCTTGAATTCTGGTAATTTCATCTTCAAGATTAATGGATCATTCTGACATAAATAGAATGGGAATTGAAACCTGTCAAGTATTCATTTGTCACATTTAATTGGAATCCAGGTAATCTGCAGCGTTTTACTTGGTTAGATTTTAATCAAGATTTGTATTGGATTTTCCATGAAAATACCATTTTGGATGCTGTCCTAGTTCCTAATTATTATTACCTCAAATATTTTCCTTGAATTTTAAACTATGTGAAACAATGCAGTTATAACTGATATTTGGATTAACTTCCATTGTAAAGTTTAGAAGATAATTTCCAGTGCAATAATATAACATCCCAGTGTCATAATACTACCTCGGTATACATTAGAACAGCTAATGATGAAAATAAGTTGTCATGAAGTAACTAAAAATAACTAAAATACCTAAAAGGAAAATTTAAGTAGATAGGCAGTGAAATGCACTTATGTTTTACAAAAGCTTTTATTTGCTTCCTATACTTTAGCATAATAAACACAATTTCATGAAGAAGGCCTGTGGATTAATCAGCTTTATAATAAGCTTTATCCTACATTCTAACCCACCTTACTGCCAAATGATGAATGAGGTTTTATTCTCTTATTAGCTTAGGAAAAAGAATACACTGTAAGAATCAACATAATTTCATGAAACCTGAATCTAATAGTTAGAATGAGTCCCACCATTTTAATAATTTCAGATCTGGGTATTTACATCCATGGGTCTCTGGAAAACAGTAATGGAAATGATATCATTAAAAAAATCAAGAATTTTTTATGAATTATACATTAATTCATAAAAAATATCACTAATATATTTTTCTTTGCTCTTCATGAATTATTATCAATATGATGATTTCATGTTGATCTTCTGATAAGATTGGGGAAATTGGTTATTTATTATTTCAATAAAATACACCTGGTGGGGTAGGATATTTTATTTTATTTTTTATTATGGGGGGGCAGAGGGAGAAGGAGAGAGAGAATTTTAAGCAGGCTTCACACCCAGCATGGAGCCCAACGCAGGGATCTATCTCACAACCCTGAGATCATGACCTAAGCCAAAGGGATAAAATATTTTAAAATATGGGGTTCATGGTAGGACATTGAGTAATGATAAAATATTTGATAATGGAAGTGTTAAAATAATTGAAACCTACTGTAATGAATTCATAATTCAAGTAAAAACCAAATATTAAGCTTAAAACCATCATCATATGAAGAGCATAAATTGACTATGCAAGAGCTTGCCCTTATCTACATCATGCAGTTGTCTTCAGATTTTCTCTTGGAGCAGTATTTAACAGTTTCTTTAGATCTATTATCAGTATCTATCTTGACCTTTGACTTCATGCCATAGTCTACTTACTCTTTTCAGTTACCCCTGGATTACCTTTGCAAGTCCAATTTGGCTTTGCTCTGTATCCTGTAACCATATATAGTGTTTAACAACTCAAATATAAGAAACACTCCATTTGACCTCCAATCCCAATTTTGCCATTAGGGTTGGGTAGGTCACTTACTCCTTCTGGATCTGCTTCTAATCATCTGTAAGGCAGTTAACAGAATTAAATCTAGAATCTTACTCAGATCCACCAACCTGTGATTTTCTCTTTATATCCAATTTTTCCTAGATGTTTTACTCTCCAAATCAGAAAGAGAGCTTTGGGTAGATTTTAAAAAGTTAAATGAGTTAAAAAATTTGGCCACTCTAAAATGCCCAACTAATTTTATGTCTCTTGATTTTCTCAGGTATTTAAAAGGTAATTTTGATTTTTACACACCAATATTTCTGAGCCTCCCAATTCCAAACTTTCTTACTTTTTCAGAAATTTATGTTAGGCTTGATCATTGTTTTATTCATTCTCCTTATTCCACATGTGTTCAGCAGTATTTAGAGTACACTGCTTTTGAGGATTAAACCATGGTACAGTCCATCATGAACCCATTTTGTATCTGCCGTAGACTTTTCACATTGCTCTCAGAAATACTGAGGGTGGCTGGAGGGGACAGGGGTGGGGAAGGGCTAACTGGGTGGTGGACATGAAGGAGGGCACGAGATGTAATGAGCACAGGATATTATATAAGACTGACCTCTACCTCTGAAACTTATAATACATTTTATATTAATTAAATTTAAATAAAATTAAAACATTTAAAAAAAGAAATAAATGAGTATAATTGAAATATCAATTGGAAATGAAACACCATTTTAATAAGACCAAGGATAATGAGAATGGAGACTAGACTCATAACTTTGGGTGGGATAAAGGGCTCTCTCTCTACTTTTCTCCCACCTACCCAATTTCCAACAGTCACTTTTAAGGTCCTGCCATCTAGTCACCATTGGTTTGTACTGTTTTCAGTTAGATTGAGTTAAGTAGCAAGACTGTGTCTTCCATCTTTCCAAAAATGCTCAAACACTTGTTAACAGCATAAGAATAATACCTCAAAACAAATGCTCTGCAAATGCCTTTTTTTAAAATTTCTGCAGGAAGAGATTACCATACCCTGGAAAGGATTCTTTTGCAAGGTTCTGCTTTTCTGCCTGGGGTTCTCTTGCCAGAGGTGGACTGCATTTTCTACTTTTCTAGCCATCTGTGAAATGGCTTTGTGCCTCCCAAGTATCCCCAAGTTCACATGCCCCCACTTCTGGAGGGCTTTATTCACTTCTGCTTTTTCATAGTGATTAGAGACAGAAAGTAATTATAGAGGTTGTCTGCAATCAAGATGTGTGTTGCAGCAGATTTCCAGTAACTGAGCAGCACAATCTAAAAGAATC